TGGGGATATGGCTTAGTGCTGGACTTGGCAGAGTAGAGTTAATGGTTGGACTTGATGATTTGAAGGTCTTTTCCAACTTAAGTGATTCTATGATTCTATGATTGTTGTACTGTCTATTATATGTATATAGGTGCTTCCTTCTGGAGAAGCTGTGAGGCAGAAAGCTTGTGGCATTTTTCTCAGTGGCAGTCCTCAAATGCTTGTTAGTTCAGAACATGGTATTCATAGGTTGGTGTCCTGGTTTGAGCCAGGATGAAGCCAATTTTTCTTTTTACTGATTTTTTTTTTCCTTCAGTAAACTTTCTTGTAGCTAGCAACAGTGTGTTCTGCTAGGCTGGTAAGACAGTGGAATGTTTTTCTAACTACTGAGGCTTCAAGGCTGCACCTGCACTCTGCCGGCTCAGACACTATGGGGAGATCTGTGACCCCCCCGTAGGAGGCTGAGTTAGACAGACAGCAAAATTGGCCAAAGATATTCCATTCCATATATCTACGTAAGCTCAGAGGAAGGTCAGAGATCACAGAAGACAACTTCCTTCCTGCTTGTCCTTCCCTTCTCTTCCGTCCACGGCCGGCGTCCGGGGAGGACTCCATTCATCCATCACCGTCGACCCTTAGGCACGAGCTCTCCTGATTCCTCAGGACTCTTCCGAGTTCAGGGAAGTGCTGTGAGAGTTGCTGGGGTGGGGGGAGGCGAGAGGCTTTTGCCCATACCTGAATATATATATATCTGTATATAATTGTATATATTTTCTTGTATGATTCATTAGTGTTTTAATTAAAGCTGTGTAGTTTAGTTCTCAATCCAGCCAAGTCTCTCTCTTTTTCTCTCTCTCCTTCCCTGTTTGGGTTGGGGGGAGGGGGGATCGAGAGCATTGTTGTCGGACGTAAGTCAAACTGTGACAGTTGGCATTGGTGGGAGGGTACAAAGGCATGGAAGAAGAAATAGTAATTATTGACACACCCCAACAAGCACTTGAATAAATTAACCAGGCTCCTAAAATTACTCTATAGTCAATGGCTTCCTCAGAGCCAGTAGAGACTAGGACCCTTAAGATTGGGCTTAACCCTTTTATGGAGCCTCACTCCCTTTATCAGCTGTATGGAAAACTGTCCTTCGAGGTTTGACAAATAATTAGTGACCAAAGCTTTGCAATACAAATAACCTTATGTTTCCCATTCTAAGGGGGGAAAAGAGCTGGGGTGTATGGACTGCTCAGGACCACTCCTCATATCTGAGTCTGGCAGGTACTGTGAGCTGGACCTCTTTGAGTTTGAATTAAAAATGAAATTACTTGTAGCTGCAGACTAACAACAGCAGTTTCCTTCAACATTTTCTCTAAGAATGTTGCAAATACAAAGAATTAAAGTGCTTCTCTTTTACTGTGCTGTTGTGTTGTTATGCTTCTGAGTCTGTCATGTTTTGATCTTTTCCTTTGATCCTTTTCTTGGATCTTTTAAGTAAATATCTGACTTAGCCATCCAGCCACACAGCAAGCTTTTTCTCAACATGAGCCCTAGTCTCTGCTGGATGCCCCATTACAGTAATTTTTATTACACTGCTTCCTTCCAAAAGGCTCCTGTGGGGCTGGTAATAAAAAGAATGCGCATAGGAGAGTCTGTGTAGTATATTGATTATCATCACATTTCCTATGCATTTCACATGTCCCTGAAAAGCTGTCCTAAAATCTACCAAATTGTCTGCATCTACATGAAAGACTGTGCAAAAAAAAGTGTTACATCTTGCAGGGAACAACTGATATTCCATGTACAGTGATGTGCATACAGTTTATATCTGTTAATATCTTTAGTGACATTTTTCTATCACAGAAGTGTTGTGTCCTCTGTGGACGTAAAGGGGACCAGCAGAGAGAGACTGCTGGTCAAAAGCCTGTGTCAGATGCCAGGAAATCCCAGGCTTTGCATTTTCCCTCTGGCAGGGAAAAGTCTGTCAAAGGCACCAAACTACTAAGAAAAATTAGACTTTGGAATCTACATGAAAACTGGATTGAATCAGTAGGTCTTCAGTGGTTTTTACAAAATATTCATAGGAAGAGCATGTAAATAAACAAAAAGAACAAAATAATGGTTTAGTGTAAGCTGTGTGGTTTCCTCCTGCAGAGGCTCTTACCAACACAGACCAGAGGGACCACAGGGAAAGGGAGGGGGGAGGAAGGACATGGGGGTGGAGTCAGGTCTTACCCCAGGCGGGATCAGGATGAGGGTAAAGTGAGCTCCTGGAGCTGGGGACTTTGAGGTGGTTTTCATTTGATGATGTAGCCACACACTCCCTTTATAGGTGGTTGACCCAACATTTTTTCCAGGAACATCATCACTCCTTTTGGGATTTAGTACATCTATCCTTGCTGTCACTGGCACAGATAGTGTATGGAAGGAGACTCACTTTTCCATCCTCACAATCCCATTCATGGAAATACAGATCTGTGAAGATACTGGCTTCTCAATGTGATCACATTAGTCCATGTGCAAGACACAAGGTGATGGAAAAGAAAGATGGCCTCTAGCATCCTCTGTTACTGCCCATATAACAAGCTGTGGCCACACACATACTAACTCTGAAAGGTCTCTGTTATTCCAGCTTGAATCTAGAAAAGTCATGAAGGATCTGTTGCAGGGGCTGGCCCTTGAGTACTCAAACTGGAGGATGTTTTGGGGTTTGCCTGCAGAGCATCAAATGAAACTACATGTTTTAAGATCTGAGGACATCTTATTATGCTAACTCAGATCTTTTGATAGGTATCAATCCACTCTTGGAGCACAAAATGGACCATAAAGCAGATCCATTGCCTTAGCCCAGGACTTTTGCCCTAGAACTTTTGCCTACAGAGCCATCGGGTACTCAAGTGTGCAAGCTGTTCTGCTGGGAAGGTTATATTTTGGTAGAAGCATTATATAGTGTTTTTCCTGTCATTTAAAGGTGACACACATAGGTAACCATCATGGAATGATGTAGAAACTTGATTAGACAGCTAAGCAGCTTGCTTTTCCCAGTTAAAAGGAAGCTTTGCTGTATGTCTGCATCAATGACTCTTGTTGCACAGCCCACTGCACAGTAAGTGTAAGGTAGCTGTTGCTGGCAGGTTTCATTTGTTTGCTTTTCCCAGATAAAAGGTCAAAATCATTAAATACTGGCTGATCACTTAATTTCACATGAGTGAAGATGCTGGTGCAGTGGGATGGTTTCTAAATAAAAGTTTAATGATGTGACACATGGCAAGAAAAAGAGCAAGCACTTTAAGGTTTTGTCCCCATCCACACAGGGAACAACTTCATTCCTTGTAATAGATTAAGGGCAGCACAGGTCTGGGGCTGCAGAAGCGAGTGCATGAATCACTGAGTGCTGACCTCTGCTAACCTCACTTGGGTATGTCACAAAACCATCATCCTCCCATTACGGCAGCAAATACCATTCATGTACTCCCACATCACAGGGCACCAAGGGGTTCAGTTCCTGTCTGCTCAACCTCACAGCCTCTTGCTCAGAGACAGAGGGAAATCACTGAATGAATAGGGAAAGTGGTAAAATTCAGAGCTTTCATCCTGCTCGTGTTGAAGTTACTTCAAACAATTTTAAACTGGTATAGAAAACTATCACCAGTAAGTTAAGCTATTCACAGATTGATTTGCTCATCCAAACCTGAAAGCTAAAATGATTACTTCAACAGTACCTTCACATTTCTATGTCACACAAAGGTGATTTTCAAATAAGTTATTTAATGATGGAAATAATGCTTCCTGCTATAATAAATGACCTATGAGTCATTTTTGCTTATGTTTTAACTTCGTCCCTAAAAATCAATGGTTTTGGTTGGAAGGGACCTTAAAGATCATCCAGTTCCAACGCCTTTGCATGGGCAGGGACATCTCCTACTAGACCAGGTTGCTCAAAGCCCCATCCAACTTGGCTTTTAACACTTCCAGGGAATTAAGCATCCGCAGCTTCTCTGGGCAACTTGTTCCAGTGTCTCACCACCCTCACACTAAATAATATCTTCCTAATATCTCATCTAAGCCTACTGTATTTTAGTTTGAAACTGTTTCCCCTTGTCCTATCACTGCATGACCCTGCCAACAGTCCCTCCCCAGCCTTCCTGTAAGCCCTTAAGCCCTTTCAGGTATGGGAAAACCACCATAAGGTCATCTCAGAGCCTTTTCTTCTCCAGGCTGAACAGCCCCAACTCTCTCAGCCTGTCTTCATAGCAGAGGTACTCCAGCCCTCTGATCATCTTTGTGGCCCTCCTCTGGACTCTGTCCAGGAGCTCCATGGCCTTCTTATGATGGGGACTCCAGAAGTGGACACAGCACTCCAGGTGAGGTCTCACAAGAGCTTAGCAAACGGGGAAAGAATCACCTCCCTTGACCTGCTGGCCCAACTTCTTTTGATGCAGCCCAGGATGCAGTTGCTCTCTGGGCTGCAAGAGCACACTGGCTGGCTGATGTTGAGCTTCTCATCCACCATCACCCCCAAGTCCTTCTCCTCAGGGCTCTTCTCAATCCATTTTGTATCAGGATTTCACAATTTTTTTTTCTGACACTTTTTAGGGAAGATTCTCTAGACAAACTCAAAATATTCACCAAGAGTATTAAGACTTATCAAAGGGGGAAAAGATACTGGTTCTTTAATGAAAGGCTTTTCATTCCAATATAGTAATTAGTCAATAAAGTTAAATATCTAAATTCTTGTTGTTTTTACAGTTAACAAAAAAACAAGCCCTTCTACCATCTAAAGAATCTTTTCCTTATCTGCACTCACTCTCATAGCTCTTGAAAAAAAACCTTTGGACTTTTTTCTTCTTTTGTCTCTCTGGAAAGAAATACATTCCCACACTTCCGTAATAAAATTCAGAGTAAATAAAAGCTTCTCAGAAGTATTTACATATATATATATATATATAAAAAATTAAAAGCCTGAAGTGCTTTTCTTCATCTTTTTTAAATTATTATTATTTTTTCAAGCCGTCTTGACGTCTGCAGGCCGGATGGCGGCGGAGCCGGGCGCGGGGCTGCGCATCTTCCGCGATGTAAGTACGCGGCGCTCCTGACATGAACCCCTTCCCTCCAGCAAAGGCAGCGATTGCGAGAGGGTGGGGGGTATCGTGTTTTTCCCTTTTCTCCTCACACCCCCCTCCCCGGCTTTTTGTTCTATTAATTTATTTTATTATTTTTGTTCTTCGTGATTTCCTTCCTGGGGTGAAAGATGGTGAAGCTCAGCAAGTCTTACCCATCCTCTCTCCCCTTCCCACTTCCCTTTTCCTTTTAATTTTTTTATGTTTCTAACTTTTAAAATGCTAATAAGGGGAATGAGTTTGCTTTTGATGGTGTGCATGTCATGAGGAGAGAAGGTTAGCAGCTGGGGGGGGGTATGAGAGGAGCTAGATGAAAACACTGCCACTTTTTGAAATATGTTGCTTGGATTTGTATTGTTTTATTGTTTTCTGGGCTTTTCACTGAAGAGTTTCTCACCCTTCGACAGATTTTTACCCAAACTGCAGCCTCCCTCCCATCCGGTAATGGGAGACCAGAAGCTGATGGACTTGAGGTGTAACCCTGAGCAGCCTCAGCCCCTTGAGGGGAAGTCCAGTGAGGTGCCCTCCTGTGTACCTGGCCATCCAACCCTTCAAGGGTGCTGTGCTCAACCATCACTGAGGGCTCAGCATCTCACAAGATGCAACTGTAGTGTTTTGTCTAAACCTGCCTGGTCCAAGGCAAGTCCTAGATAAAAGGCAAACTCCTACCTAAAGATCTCCAAAGTAGCCCCTAGACTCCATGAGACCTACAGATCTTCAGACCAACTCTACTACAAACTCTGATCTACTTCAGACCAACCCTTATACCATGGTTAGTCCACAATATCAGCTGGAAGTGGCATGTTCTGTACTAAAAGACCAGATGTGTAGGTGTTTTCTGTAACAAGCCTCCATTAACCTCCCCAAACTTTTTCCTGAATTATTTCAAGCCACCCCCAATGAAAACCATGTCTGCTCATCAAGATGCCTACAGGAAAGCTGGAGGGAGGCTTTTTACAAGAACACGTAGTGATAGGACAAGGGCTAATGGTTTTGAACTGGAGAAGGTGATAGATGTAGATTAGCTATTAAGAAGTTCTTTACTGAGAGGGCAGTGAGACACCAGCACAAGTTGCCCAGGGAGGTTGTGGATGCCCCCTCCCTGGAAGTGTTCAGGGCCAGGTTGGATGGGGTTTGGAGCAACCTGGTCCAATGGGAGGTGTCTCTGCCCATACAAGGGGGTTGGAACTAGATGACCTTTAAGGTCCCTTCTAACCCAAACCATTCTATTATTCTATGATTTTCTGATTGCTCTTGGCTACATGAGAAGTCATTTGAATTAAACTCTTTGTTGACCCTTAGCCTTTCCATTCAAGTGTATAAAGAAAAACACAGTTGTTTGGTCGTATGAATACCTCTTATAAGAAAAATAGGAGAATTACAGGCATGCAACTTAAGGACAGAAGAGAAATCCCAGGTCGCCAGAAAAGAGATAGGAGGCATTCAAATGAAGCCAGCTCCCCAGTTTAACTCGGCACACTGGGTTAGGAAACTGCAGATGGTCGGAGTATTTGATAAACTGAAAGCTTTACATATAACTTACCATTAAAAATTTCAAATCAAAATTATTTGTTGAAATTTCAGCAATTTCTTAAATCCTATGTTCCTATTTATAGAAAAGTAGGTGGCATTCATAAAACTCGTGAAGAGGAAGGAGGGGGACTCCTGCTGTACTTATGCTCTTATATCTGGAGGAAAACCTGAAATTCAAACCCATTTGCTGCCTTCCCCAAAGCAGGGACTGTACCCTGGGGACCCTTCCTCCTGTGAGAGTACACTCATGTCATAGGTATTAGGGGGGTGTGCAGCACTGTGATTATCCCTTAGGGAAGTATACCCACCTGTAAAAACACTGAACTGTAAATTAGACCAGGCAGCAAGAGACTGGCTGTAAGGACACAGAAAGGGCAGGTGCTGAGGCCTCAGGCCCATGGGGAACTGGGCAGAGACCTTCTCCCTGCATTTGTGTCATAGTCCCCATGAAGTGTCTAAAGAATTATAACATCTCTATAAAGGTTGTGTTTTGGTTGGTTTTTGTTGTCGGTGGTGGTGTTTTTTTAATTAATTAATCCAAAATTGAAATAATAATTATTAAAATAGTAATTAATTAAAATTCATTTTAAAAGAAGAAAGGAAAAAGGCTTGTTTTTCAGGTAACACAAAAAGGAAAAAAGGCTGCTTGCCAGTGAGGTAGGAGAAAGAATAACAGTTCCCCAAAAAACTCCAGCCAGACCTGCCAGGAATCTAGGGCTGTATTTTGCCTGTTAAGGATTGTAGAAAAAGTTATTATTTTATTCTAACAATGCTATTGATGATTTTTCCTTTGCTCTGCATTTAGTCTTTCCACTCTCTTTAGGGGACAATTTCCAGTTTAAGAGTAAAAATTTAAAACACCTAAACAGTCCAAACCCCATGCTGAAAATTGGTTTCAAATATATTATTTATTTGGGTATGCAGGGAGGGAAGATGTCATCTTACTATGTTTATTTCATAATTTTTGTGATGTAAACTTACTCCTATTAGAAGTTCAGATTTAGAGACCATAAGTTAAGTCCTGGATGTGGGTGACAATTTTATTAGTTCCCCACCAACCCCTCCCAGCAAAATACAGTCAGGAAGACGCTCCAACAGAGCTTGGCAGCTTGGCATCTTGGTTCTTGGGTTTCTTATTTGGTCTCACTCTAGGAGCAGAGCAGTTACAGCAGGTGCTGGTGAAGCTGCTGAAATACTACTGTCAGTTTATCAAACTGGAGAATATTTCCATTGCCTTCATCTCTCAAAAATGCATGTGCCCATTTTGAAACTCTTTGTTTTCCTAATATTCATAGCATTAGAGAAACTATATTCAGAAGATTTGTCTTCTTCTGTTGTCTAAATTTGCTAGTATAGTTGCCTGGAAGACTCCATTGGTGCTCCAGCTGAAGAAGTGATGGGGACTATATCTGGAAATGTAGCAGAGTGACACTGGATGGCAATTGTGCTTCTCTGAAGTGTCACATGGTGACCCATGCCACAGCTAAACCACCTCATGCAGAGATCAGGGAGCAAAGAAGCTGGAAGGGATGCCCTCTGTGGCTTCTGCTGCCTGGCCCTGACGTCCTGATCTCCAAGGGATGTGTGGTGGTACCTGTGGTGAGACTCCAAGAGGGACAGGCGGACATATCACCATATCACTGGCTGTAAGACAGGACCAGTGCAGGTTATACAGCCCTGGATGGGTTAGTGCTGTGTCCCCCTGCTGACCTGCTGCTAGGTCTGGAAGGCTCTGTCACCGCTTCTTGTGGGATACACCCCTCCAGATCCTCTTCTCAGACTTTCCATGAGGAGTTACAAAATCTCACCTACATATTTAAATAGGTTCTCCAGCAGCTGCCATTTTCAGCAGAGAGAAAAGGCAGGCCTGCACACCGGGTGGGTAACCTGGGGTTGCATATGGGTTGCACAATGAAAGCATCACAGCAAAGGATCTAGAGCAGGCACCTGTGCTAGATCCTGTGCTGCCCTGGCCTTCCCAGCTCATAGACCTCTATCCTTTCCCTCTCCCCTTTCTTCTTCTGGTTTCTACTCTTTCTCAGAGCAATCTTCAGATTTACTCCCACACATCTAATCTCACTGCCTTCGATACCCAGTCTGATCCCTTCATGCCACCTGGCTGCTCTCCTGACTTACCCCTTGCTTCCTCCACCCACACAAACCTCGAGTCTTTCTCACTTTCTGTGATGCTCGGTGCATCCTCCCAGGTGTCATCCTTGCTCTGCTTTTTTAGACCACTTCTCCCAGTGCTGAATCTAGTATCATGGTAGCCATATAGTTATCAGGTTTTATGTCTGATCATCATCATTATAAGCCATACACAAACTAGAAAATAAAGCTGGTTCTTATTATGGTCTTGGTTTTCTGTGCACAGAGCACAGGAGCAGTTAAAGAAAGCAATACTGTGAGGCAAGCATGGAGACACACTAAGGGCTTTTCAATTTTATGCAGACTTGTGAAAATATTGTGTAGATCTCAAACTATAAATGCTCACTAAATACAGCATTGTGTGCTATTAACCCATACGTAAGAAAGTGATTCTCTTCTCTTTCTCTTTTTTTTGTGTAGATCTTAAGAAGAGCAGACAAGAACGGTAAGGCCAGTCATGTGTCTTCCCCCTTCCTCTCTTTGGAAAAAAAAAAATAATCCATTATTGATTCAGCATTTTAAGTCATGCTTGAAACATTCTAACAGGAAAACCAGCCATCCCTCGTGTTGTTTTGTGTTTTCTACAGGTAATGTATTTTTTGTGCACTGGTCTTCCCCATGGGTTCTTTAAGGGCAGATCTTGTGCTTTCACTATTTGGCATGTGTATTTGAGTTGCACTTTAGGTGAATGTGGCTTTTCTCTTAGTGACATTGTGTTCACAAGAAGTTTTGAAATACTTGTTAGTAGCTCCATCTTACTACTTTTTAAAAACACCATATGCTACATCCAGCAATCAGACTTGTTTCCTGCATTTTGCAGTTACCTGTTTGTTTTGCATGTCAGTAGGCAGAATAAAGCCTTGAATTCTACTTGCATATTTATAGCACAAAAGTAGTGAGTTTTTTATTATGTTCCTAACCAAAAGTTTTGCCCTCATTCTTTTCTTCCACATATATTTCTTCCCTTACTTCAGTAAGTTGGAGCATAGTAATGTAACATTTCACAAATGCTCCGGTTTTGGCCACAGCTGGGGAAAGACCTTCCTATAAGGACCACAAGTGTAGCCACCAGGTTTTTTCACTACTCTCTATAGTCGTGGTCTTGAACCTGAGTTTAATGCCTTTTTGCATCTCAGAGTCACAGCACAGTTTTGAGCAACTTACATTGTCATTTTTGTGCCATGACCTCTAACAGATAAATGAAGCCACTACTATATCCCTGCATCACGAAGTGTGAGATTCAGTGTGCTTGAGGCTAAGAAGAGCTTCTGTAGCTCTGAAGTTGCCAAAATAGTATTTATACATAATGCAGACAATCAGAGTTAGGTCTTAGAGGACAAGAAGGAAACATAAACTCATCATTATTTAGCACTGTAATACCAAAGTACAGGAAGAAGGGAGAGGAGACTTCTTGCAGAGGCACGGGCCAGGCTTTGGTCTTTTCCTGAAAGCTCTTGATGGATTTAACACTGACAAGCAATTCCCACTCAATCCTCAGAAAACAAATATTGTGCAAGCTTGTTAAAGTGTACTGTCAGGTATCTGAATGCCAAGGGATACCATTGAGAAAATCAGAATAATTTTCAAGGAGGAACTATTGGACAGTAAGGGCCTACCGTGCAGTTTGGTGGTATAACTGAGCCTGTTGAACAGATATTTACTGTTGCTGAGAGGGCAATCCCACCCCACAGTCCATCTTTGGCAGCTGCTTCTGCCCCAGCTTGTGTGTGGCAACTGGCACTTCCCACAAAACCATGGCAGGCTCCTTCAGAGAGCTCAGGGGCCAAAAAATCCATCTCTGAGATTTTTTTGGTAGTTTTGTGTGTTTTTTTTAAATCTCCCTAGGTCAGCTTGCCAGTTGCTTGCAAGGCCAGTGATGGTACAAGTTGAATCCCCAAGTGAGGACTGGGAGGGGGGAAAGGACCTTCAGCAGTGCCTTTCCAGCTTAGCCAGATGCCAGCCACAGCCAAGTTCTGCTGGCATCCCACACACAGTGTTTGGAATAGATGTTTACATGTCTACCCTGGAAAGTGATGAGAGTCAGACTTCATGGTGCAGAGAAGGTGTGGTCATCCCCTCAGAAGAAGGAAGAGCCCCTACATCCTCATGTCCTTGTCCTGGTTTTTGAACTCATGCTCTGTCCCAGCCCGGGTGGATCCACAGTGTTTTGGTGGTCAGGAAGTCTTCTCATCCTCATTGGAGTCACCCATAGTTTATTATTCATAGTTTGCTATTAAAATAGGGGAAACAGCCCACATGATCATTGACAAACTTGCTTATTTCAGAACAATATGAAGCCACTGTGGCCATAGAGACACTGGAGTTCATACCTAAATATGGATCCTTAACAACATATTGTTGGGAGAAAAGGGGCTAAGTCCAGTCACTTTAGCTCTATGAGTTTAAGTCCATGAACTTGAAATGGTTTCAGCTGTTATATGCTTGTGTTTGCTCAACCACCAGTTGCCTGTGGCACTTCCCATTTTGTTAACATAGCACTGCACAGGCACGTGTCACATTAATAGGGAGCAGATTTGTTTAAAGGCTGGGAAGTTAAGTACCTTCTCAGCCAGGTTATTGGATATGTGAACACTTACCTAACATGTTTGCACTGTTGTCAGCACGGATTATTAGCTTTTATTAATGGCTAGGATATTTACACTTTCAGTGCCACCTTTCTGTGCTACAGGAAACCTAGTGCTGGTTTACATAAAAAATACTACATAACTGTGACATGATCCTGTTAACCCATGCACTTTTAATAGGACTGTCGGAGCTGCTGTATTAACTCTCTAGGAGATTAAAATAGCCCCAAAAAAATTATCATCAAAAGCTTTACTAGAATCTTGCTTGACATCAAGGAAAAAATACATCCAAAAAGCATATCTAGCTGATAAACAGGTGTATTATAGGAGGTAGAGTATTATAGGGGATTATAATGTAGTACAGGAGACAGATTAATTTAGGGACTGTGGAACTTCAGGTTAGCCTTCCACAATAAAGACAAACAACTATACTTGTAAAGACAGTTAAAATAAGAGATCAAAAGAGCCAAGAAATCCCGCTGAATTGCTGTTACTCAAAAATGCTACAGAGATTTATGACAGCTGAGTTTAATTGAGAAACTCCTTAACCAAACAGCTCTACCCGTATTCAAAAGAAGTAATAAAAATGTTGTTTCTTTTGTTATGGTGGCTTCTTTTTCTGCCATCCCAGGTACATATATAATTTTGTTACCCTCCCATTTCTGGAAGTGTCAGCTATGCCCAGATTCCACAAGAGGATCAGCTTCATAAACTCTATCTGTAGTTCTTATTTCATGGCTGAGCAGCTCTGCTCTGTATGGATCAGATCCACACTCCTCCAGTAAATGAAAAGGACATGTGATTTCCTGAAAGGGAGAAAAAGGCAGAGGGAAGGAATATCACATTGCTAAGAAATATGTGGTTCATGATATTGACAAAAGCACCAGAAAACCATGAGGGAGAAAAAGCAATTTCATAAAGGTGAGATGTTGCACATTGACCTTTTTGGAAAGACATTTCACGTTTGCGCATGAAAAGGAAGTTTCGGTCAGGTTTATCCTACAATACTCTTATGCTTTTAAAGGAAGGCATGTGGGTTCGACGTGAAATTAATTTGGAAAAATTCCAGCTAAAAGGGAAAGTATTAATTTATTTCATTCCTTTTGCCATTTAAAACAAAATCAAACTCATCAAATTCCTCTCAAAAGGTAAAATCTTGTCCCTAACTTGCAGGAGGAGTAAAGACATACGGGAAACTGGAACTGCCCAATGCAGTCTTTTCTAATAAAGAAAATGTTCTGCCTCCTTCATCTCACAGGTAACAGTGGTTGCCCCACACACATTTGACTGTAGCACCTGTGTGTGCTTATCTTCCTGCTTGGCTACATGAGGTGTTTCTCTTAGCTTCTGATATGGTGAGAAAAAGATGCAGCATCCCATGAGCCTGCAGGGATTTACAATCAAATGAAACAGTATCAGGTGTTGGTAAAGGTCACCCTGAAGCATCTCCTGACCATGCAGCTTTGATATGTGCCCTGTTGGGATAGCCTCATGTTGTAATTACCTTCTGTTGGCACAGAAATGGAAATTCAAATACAGACTATATTGCAGAAATCCAATCACAAACAGTCTGTCAAAATGGAAAAGAAAAAAAGGTAATGATTTACCGAGAATGTGACACTCTATCTTGTAAAATTAACAATCTTCTTTCAGCTGAGGGAAGGTGCTTTCAACAGGGATGGTTTGTATATAGATGTGGTCATTGATATGCAAATACAACTCAGCTGTTATGAAAAACCACTGAGTATAAATTATATTACAAACACCCTTAAAGCTCCTAAGAGAAAAATATTAGAAAACACCACAGGTCAAAACTGCTATTAAAGCAGAGATTTTTAAAAAAATAATAAAAAAGAAGACTTAACCTTCAGGAGCACAGTAAACTGTGCTTCAGGCAGTCAGGAATGACTGCAACCAAATGAAGGAAAATAAAAAATTGACTAAACAAAGGGATACTAAAGCTTCAGAGGCAGCCAGACCTGAATATCAAACACCCAGCACAGACCAGCAATGAAATGTTATTAATGCCAGACCAGCACATTTATGTCTGCTTTCATTTTGTCTCTGACATTTCAAACATGCACTCACTGAAAGCTTTTGTTTCCCCTATAAAATGCAATTTTTATGATGTCACTGAACTAAAATCTGTAAAATGAAAAATACAGTCTGGTGAGACTAATCCCCTCATTCTGTCGTATGTCTTCATCCAGCACCCCCTGATGTCCATGATACAGAAAAGGAACATCCCATTTTTAAACACTGAATTCTAAAACTGAATGAATTCACACTCTATTAGCAACAGTATCTTCTCGCTAGCATAAGCAATTACACATGAAAAGTCCCCCAGTCCCTCTACAAAACGCACAACACTCCAACAGTAGCAAAATTGTTGATTGCAGTGGCCTGAGATTTCAGACCAGCTCTAAAACCATGTGAACATTAGCCCAACAAAAAACTGCAAGTCATAAATAAAAGACTATTTAAAATAAGGCAACAACAGCATCCTGTAGCTTCCACTGGTGCCAGGGACCAGAGTGTTTCACAGAGCAACCTCATTTGAGTCAACCAACAAGATTTCCACAGCATAACCAAAACCCCACAACCTGTACAATGATCAAGAGGAAATCTTACACTAGAGTCAGTTTTGCAGAAATCAAAATAAGTGCTTTCATATTCATTATTTATTGACAGCACCATTTCAGGACAAACATGGACTTTGCAAGTGAGTCTTCTACCTGCTGTGTCAGCTCGTTTGTCTCCTGGTGAGCTCTAGGAGGCTGACAGCTGCCTTGCTAGAGCAGTCCTCAGATGGTGACTTCTCAGTTGCTCTGGCTGGTAGCCCAGAGTGCTACTTCAAGCTAATCCCAGAGGACAGAGTGAATATGTCTGTGAGAGGCAGGGGAAGCACCTCAGGAAGGGCATCTCCTGAATCACCCTCAAGTGAACTGTCAGAGTTGGTGTGGAGGCTCTGAGGGTTGCCACTTGGGTGAATATATTTTTTTTTCAACCAAAACTTTAGAGTTACACCAAAGCAAGGCATGCCAAGTCCCCAGTTTCAGCATTTTTTTCTAAGCCAGTATCCCCTGATCTGTGGCCATAACATCCTGACATCTGATGAGGTTTTCAGGTAGCCCACAGACTGCCCCCAGCAGTGCTGCCCCATTGCAGCAGTGGGTGGGTCTCTCCCCTCCATGCACATGGACTGGCCAGATGTGGCACCACCTGACAGGGTGACACAGCTCTCGTGTGCCAACCCTTGAGAAGAATGGCTGTGTGCAGGAATCCCTCAGGGGAGCAGTATGCACAGAGATTCTGTGAACTGCAGCATCACTGATTTGAGCTTCCAAATCCCAAATGGATTTGTAAGGCAAAAGCCTTATAGCACAGCCTCCAAGGACTCTGGCCACACTCCTGTTTGCTTCCTGACTGTCTGGATCTGCTGCAGACACTTCCCTGGGTCCTGTTTCAGAACCCAGGCTCTGCCAGGGGTGGGATTCCCTATCCCACCTCCCTGGGTCCTTCAGGTGCTGTAGCACTGGACTCTGTACTACAGATGCCAAATTATCTTATTTCTATAAAGATAAAATGCCTACTTTTAGACCTAATCTCTCTCTCTGTTAACCTAATCCCCTTGGAACCACTTGGTTATACGTGCTCAACTTTTCCAGCATAATAGCTGGAATAGCGGCTCAAAATCATATTTTTTTTTGTTATAAAAACACTTGACATAGATCAGAGTCGATGCAAGGTTAGTGCATTTGCTCAGAATCTTTAAAGCTTCAGCTTTGTCTGTGCTTTTTCTTATGCAACCCCTTTTGCCAGGGACCTAGTGGATATTATCAGCATACTCCTTGGCACACTGAAAATTCTTATTTTGGCAATTTTACTAATTTTTGCTGTACAAGGACAGAGGACTGTGCTTATAGAGCAACAGACCCTAAATACTCTGCACTGGCATGTGCATGTTGCCAGCCTGGAGGCAAGCTGAGCACCTTCTGGTTCGGCAGGGACAGTGCCATGGGCTCAGTTTTCCGAGTCCCATCCCACTAAGGTGAACCCCAGTTCAGGCTTCATCCCAGTGGTTTTTTTTCCTCCCAGTTATCACAAGCCCTTCCATGTGGAAGATGCAGGCTTCCTGCAGGTTCACAATTGGCGATCATCTTTGGGCATGTAGACTCTAAATATATACACACCCTTGTTCATTATTTGCTTGGTATCTCACTCACTGATATAATCTTTTAACTCAAAAAGAGAGCATATGTGTGTTTCCTTCATCAGATACTGTCTGTTGAAGTCTATTGAAATATTGAAGGTGTTGTCTATTAAAGTCGTAAGATACCCAAAACGTGACCTGGAGATTTACTGGTGTTTCTGGAGAAGACTGGCTGGGGGATATCACTTGGGCCTATTTAACACATAAAATCATCTGTTCAATAGAGAGGTAAATTTTACTGAAATAAAGCTAAGAATGCCATTGTAATCCAAAGGAAGGCTCCTCTAAAACACCATGTAAACATCTTTCTTAACTTGCAAGTGTTACATGGGGAGATTGATTTTATTTTATATGTTCTTGTCTGCCAGTCATGAGTGTTTTGGCTCCAAGGAGGAAGGACTACAGTGCCTGGTTTTGAAGAAACCCTGCTTTTGAAAGATGTCAGAGAAGATAGACAAGGCTTGCAAAACAGCTTCTTTGAGATAACGTTGCCAAGGCAAATGCTGCTGAAGCCTGATTTTTCTGAAGGATGCCTGGCTTCAGAGAAATTTCTTTCATGAATCTTCCATCCCCTGTGGCTTTGCCAGCGGCAAGAAACGAAGAAGCCAGGATAGAGGTTTCTGCCCAGCTGCTCTCTAAGTGCTTAAACCAGACAGTAATTATCTGGGTGCTCCAAGGGCCGTGAGGTGTGCCCCAGAGATGCAGTGCTGCCAATATGTACTGCAACCTTTAAAATAAAAGCCATTCTTGACACTTAAAAAAAAAAAAAACACAACCCTGGCTAGGCAAACATTTATTCAGTTAAACAGCAGAAGGAGCACTTGCTAGGGTTTGGCACTTGTTAGGGTTTGGATCTGAGCTTTATCTGAGCACTGAAGGAGTGCAGTGGTGGCATGGACCACTGATGTCTCAGTCCCCAGTGGTACTAGCAAAACAATTGCACTCCTACAAAACCAGAGAAACTCCTTGGAGAATTAGAGCTTTTTATTAGTAAATGTAACTGTATAAAGTCTTCAAGTAACTGAATAGGTTCAAAACTCCCTGGGTTTTGGCAACAACAAGCTCAGCAATAAGTCGGGCAATGTCGATAACATTCAAAAAGTTATGGAGAAAAAAGAGCTCTGAAGCAAAAGGCAATGTCTGCTCTTGAATAACAAAATTTAAAGAAAATAGCTAAAGTGCCCAATCTGGCTGTTGGCAGATCATTGATTTTCAGGATTGATGTGAAGCCAACAATCCTGAAGAACAGAGATAAACAGACAGATATTTGAGGTTTTGTATCATGCCCAGACTGTTCTGTGAGTAAACTTGTAACATGTTTACCTCAGAAAAGTTGCCAAAAATCACTAGTTTCTTGAGTATGTGGATAACTTGCATGCAAATCGCCCTTCCCAGCAAAGGCTAAAGTTGCAGAGGCAGTTTGATTAAAAAATAGGTTGTATCTGTATGAGGCAGAGGAAGCCCAGCTGTGAAAAGAAGATTGTTTCAACACACTCAATATTTTATATTCCTTCTCTGCACCAGTGCCAATGGCAGGTGTATTTAGATTCTGAAGTAGGTAATCATGGCACTTCTGTAAATGAAAACTGCCTACCTTCAGCAAAGTATTGTGCCATTCTAGTTTTTAGTTCTTGTAGATCCTGACATTTTATTTTGATAGTAATGATGATTATCTCCAGCTACAATCTGTCCTTTCATATTAAACATTTCAAAGTGTTTTTGTTGAAGCAGACATTCGATTTTGAGATCTCTTGAGGATTACACATTTGAAACCATATATTCAATTTACAGAAATTATGAAGAGCAAGTAAAAGAATGAGGAAACTTCTCAGCTCCACTCTTCAAATTGGTATGCTGTAGTACAGCATGTATTTACAGGATTCAGATACTGCCTTTATAATTGAGTCTTCACCACTCTAAAATTAGGCAACAATATGTCACAGATTTTCCTGATGCTTAGGGCATCGTAGTATTAATCCTCTACTGTTGTTTAGTGCCCTGTGAGTGATTCAGTGTGTTCCTGAAGGAAGAGAAAGAACCCTGTGAACTTACATATTTAGTAATGAAGTCTTAGGCTCTGAAAATATTATCTATCCTTCATGAAATGGCTTGATCGGTTTAAATAAGTTACTCCTTGACTACTGTTTGACTGTTCCAACTTCCTCTAAGTTAAAGGTAGATCTTTTTCCTTTGGCTTTTGCTTGCTGGTTATCAATCTTGCACTTAAAACACAATCAGAAACTTTAGTCAGTGAGGAACAAATTGCCATGACTGTTTTACCAGAGTTATGGATTTGCCTTATCCTGACCCATGCACTTCTTCTGAAGTCATGCGGGTACAGCCAAGAAAGGAGGACACTTATTCTTGAGGACAGAATTTTTGGTGTTGGGTCTGGACAACTTACATGCTGGAAGATTGGAATTTACTATTATTTTCTATGCTGTCTAAGAAAATGAGCTGAGATTCTTTCCAGTGGAAGTGGTCACAAAACTGGATTCCTATCCTATGAAAGTCAAACTTCTAAAAAAAATGTATTAATTTATTTTGTTAATTCTACACCAAGCACAGAGCTTTTTGAGACTGATCTGTTTTATGAAGAAAGAGAGTATCATAATGCTGCAAATTGGTTCAGTGTCTTGTGTAGTGTCAGATAGAGAAGATAGCCAGGGTCAGATTCCTACTGTTGTTGAATCGTGCACTTGAGTCTCAGTCTCCCATGTAGGAGCCGGGGAGCTGAGAAAAGAAAGATGAGGAAAAGGAAAGGGAAATAAATACATAGCTCTAGATAGCTGCAAATACTTTCATTGACCTTTTTGCTTTTGTATTTCCATGGATTTTCTCTGTCCCCCTCAGTCCTAGGAGGTCAGCAGTTCCATGCAGAGGGGAGGACACTGTCAGGGAATGAATAGGGGAAGTGTGGGACATGGCAGGGAGAAGCCACAGTGAATGGTATGAGGGCAAAGACAGGATTGTATTAATGGCTTGCCAGGAGAGGCTTACCCAAACCAGCTGTCTTTGCTTGGAAGATGAGAAGGAGGAAGAATAACAGAGTTATCAGGCAAACTGAGAACTCTTGATACCACAGCTGATGCATCTAACATCATGTTCTTTATGTGTCTTGATCAAACATGTAACAATTCTACACTCAATCTGAAGAGCTAGGGCTTTTTAACAACTTCCTTTTCTACTGCATGAAGTAAAAAAGCAAAAGCATAAAGGAAATTAAGGCACTTTCTATTTCTTCATTGTTTCAGATGATGGAAAACTGTCTTTTGATGAATTCAAGGCTTATTTTGCCGACGAAGTTCTGAGTGGAGAAGAACTGCAGGAACTTTTTTACATGATGGATACACACAATACTGAGTAAGTGTCCCCTTCTTACAACCAGACTCAGACTCTTTGTACTCGAGAATGGAAAAACGTGGGTTTGTTTTTTAAATTTGTGGGGTTTTATTATTATTTGTAAGCCTTTTTTTTCTTTAGCAGAGAATATCTAGACTTGAAAAATATGTAGAATAGTGTCCTCCTGGGACACAGGCACACCTTAAGAATAGGTGCAACTTTATCAAATGCTATGGTTACTAGTTGAGAACAGGTAATGAAATGGGCACAGCATCCATCTGAGAGGGAGATCATTCTTGCTGTCCAGGAAAAGCCTGGCAAAAATTAGAGCACAGAAGTCACAGAGAATATGTATTGTTAAGGTAATGGATCAAAACGGGAAGAGGGGAGATTTAGGTTAGATGTTAGGAATAAATTTTTTTGTGTGAGGGTGGTGAGACACTGGAACAGCTCAAGGAATTTGTGGAAGCCCCATTCCTGGAAGTGCTCAAGGCCAGGTTGGGTGTGGCTTTGAGCAGCCTGGTCTAGTGGGAATTATCCCTGCCCATGCAGGAGGGTTGGAATTAGATGATCTTTAGGGTCCTTCCAATCCAAACCATTCTATAACACTATGATACGATTTTATAAATCATTTATTTCAGGGAATTGAACAGGTGGAAGACTAAGAAAACCTAATAAATTACCTTTTCCAACCAGAAGAAAGGGTGCCTTCTATTGATTGGTTATAAGGTAGAACCTAGATATAGATAACAAGAAAACATGCTTAAAACTTAGATTTAAAACAGCAACAAGAAGCTTTTTGAATAAGCTCCTTCATGAAGTCTTTAACTGACAGTGCCTGACTTGGCAGCTGAAAAGCATTGTACACTGTTTGATCTTTCTCTTTTACAGAAGCAAATATATTTGAAAGGCTTTCCCTTAGCACCTTTGAAAATTTTTAAGAACCCTGTAATTGGGCAGGCAGCAAGATGGAGCTCACCAAATACCAGGTGGATGTAGGAAAGAGAGACAGCTTGGACAGTATAGTAGAAATTTCTTGTTAGTATAGCTTTCCAGCAAAAATCACATGAAGCAGACATAATAAGGAGGCAAAAACTTTACTCAGTGGCATTTACTGAAAAGGGCAGATTATATAAAATGCCTCAAATTAACCAGTGGGCTAAGAAAAGCAGCAAAATGTTCAGTGAACCTTGGAAGAAGTTTTGTAATGCAAGGATTAGGAAAATCATGTACATATCAAACAATGCCCAAGTCATCTGTGTTGTGGTTTTCACTTGCAAGTTACCCAAGGGAATGAAATTAAAATAATGGTTTCTGCCTATAATTCCCAAATATTTTATGGTCAATTTTTAGAAAGGGAGGGTGAGAAATTCTACTCAGTAATGTGTCTAGCAGGAGAAGATCTGCACAGATTATTTTGTCTCTCTTATCCAATTAAAATACAGACTCTATCAAACTCTGAGCAAATAATTTATCTGCTCTGCTTCACTTCACTAGTAGTTCTCTGTCAGAGAAGTATTTCATAAGCATTGAGATTGTGCAGTGATTCACACTACACATAAATGCCTAGGACAGATGGGTAGGAAAGCATGGAATGATCTGCTAGACCATTTCTTGGAGGATCTCAAGATTTCATAGCCAGTTTGTCACAAGAGAAGTCTTTGGGTTATTTCTACCTGCATGAAATCTTTTAGCTCTGCCAGCATTCAAAACCTCACTGCCTGTGAATCTTTGTACTTCAAAGCCTGAATCAAAAAAAGGAAATGTGGCCTTGGGGTGATATCCATGGGCCACAAGCTCTTGAAATCTGAATTCCCATCTCAGCTCTGCTGCCACAATCTTTCAAAAAAAAAAAAAAAAAATGTTCAGAGCATTAAAGACTCACCCTGGCTTAACACTTTTAAGGGAAGTAAATTATCCAGGTATGAAAACCCCCTGTTATACAGGTCCTAATTTCAGTCTTGCTGAAGAGAGATTTAGAAGATTATTAACTTTTTAAAAGACTGAGCCAAGCTAATGCAACATACCTGTTACAGAGCAGACAAGCCAAGGAAGACTGCTAAAATGAGCAATTGCCATTTTCAGTCTGATAGCAGTGCAAATAAAAGGGCTTGAACTTCCCAGTAATTAAGGTTGTGTCTTCCTGACTATGATCTCTTGGTGCAGTGATGTGAAGAGTATTTGTACAAAGTAAAAGAAGAGTCAACTGGTGCTGCAGTGACCGTAATCACTAGGAAAAAAACAGATGTGTAGGAAATAGTTACCACTACATAACATTTCCAAAAGAAAGGTGAAATTGAAGTTTATTATGCAGGGATTAATTTATACATACACTTTGTCTATACCCTAAAGTACAGGCTATTGATCAAGGGTAGATCACTGCTTTTACTGAAAATTTGCATCAGCTAAGGATCTTTTCTCAATACATCACTGAGATACATATTTTGCAACTTATGCTTCTCCTGAGCCCTTAAAAAAACCTTAGTGCACTCTATGTGAAGCTGAGTTAACGTTTTTGGAGGAGTTTTGTGAGGGTGAAGGAAGGTCAGTGTGGTTTCTTGCTCCTCTCTTCATTCCCCAGCCTCTCAGCCCAATCTACTCAGCACTCAGCACAATCCTGCAGGGCTGGTGAGAACAATAGGAAGGGTGTTGGAGGCAAATGCTGGTGCTGCAAAGGTGTCAGAATTCTTTCCTGGGGCTGAAAAGGAGGGTGACAACAAAGGTCATAGAGGACATGGTCTGCAAGTCATAGATGAAGTTATTTTGAAGCTGAAGACCCATATGCTCTGCATCCTGGTTATTAATTCCTCTATCAAGTGAGAGTCAAACACTCATTTTGGTTGGGTAGCAGTTTTTACTGTCATGGCACAAGTATAAATCACTACACACAGCTCAAAGCAAAGGCTCTCAGGGACTGATGCTCAAAGCCACTTGAAGATAGAAGTGAGCTGGTGGTGCTACTACAAGGAACGTATTTGCGCTAAACACATCGTATTGCAGCACAGCTGAGCTGTGGTTTGGGACAACACAACAACAAAGGAACAGCCCCATGGCTGCTCACTCAACACCCCCCACACACTCACACTCTGGGATGAGGAGGACAAAGCTCATGGGTCGAGACAAAGGACAAGGAGGGCTTTTCACAGATTAAGGTCCTGGGCAAAACAGACTTGGGGAAAAAACAATAATTTAATTTCACACTAATCAAACATACACAGGACACAGACAACACAAAGAGCAGAGCTTGCATATGTTACCCCACCCCTCCCTTCTTCCCGGGCCCAAATCCCTTTGTTCCTGGTTTCTCTCCCTCCTTCCCCCCCAGTGGCACAGGGGGACAGGGGATGGGGTTTCGAGTCAGTTCACAGGCTGGTGGTTCTTGCTGCTCCTTCCTCCTCAGGAAGAAGGATTCCTTACAGTCCTTCCCTGCTTCCCCACAGGGTCCCTCCCATGGGAGAGAGTCCTCCACAAACCTCTCCTTCATGAGTCCTTCTCACCAGGTCTGGAACTGCTCCAGCCTCGGCTTCCCACAGAGTCAGGGGCTGCTTTGGGAACAGCAACTCCCCTGGCCCGGGGTCTTCCAAAGCTGTGTAATCAGAGTCCAGAGGCAGCAAATCCACTTGCCACAAAATCCAAGTCCACTGGCCAAATTCACCCCTCCTGGCACCTTCAGGAAATGTTCCACCACGTTCCTCCACGAGTGCAGGGGGACAACCTGACATCTCGCCATGGGTTGCAAGGAAACGTCTGCTTGGGCACCTTCTTCCCCCTCTTCCTCACCAACCACCAGCACCGCTCTCCTTCCCCAACAAAGCTCTTCTCTGTTCTTTAAGTGCCTGCTCTGCTCCAGTCTCATTTCAGTTCTTTTGTATGTAAATCGCTGAAGTGCATCTGTTGTCCCTCTGATGGCTCTTTGGCTGGGTTTGGAGCAGGGGGAGCTTCTCAGCTTCTTACTGGAGCTACTCCTGGGCCCCTTTCCCCGCTACTGAAAAACCCACCAAACCACAACAACAGTTCAGCTTCAGAGGAGGTAGTTCTGTGAAAATATAGCTGTTTTGTGTACATGTGTTATTGACAGAATAATTGTCCTGGGAGTAGACAAAAGTATCAGAAGCACAGACTTTTTTATACATGGTGAGAAGTATTCAGGAAAAGCTTGGTATTTGTGGCTTATGGGGTGAATGCTTTTACAGCTCATTTCCTTGGCAGATCTGCCCCCGACTAATTTTAATGTCAGCTGTGATGACCCCATGTTTCAGCAGAACAAGAATCCTTGACATGGTTAATGGTTTAGTGAATAGGTTTTAGTAGTCATTGCAAATGTAAACCTCCCTTTTATTCTTATTCTTCTGCCTTCCCTCTCCTCACTCTTAACTTACATGGAAATTGTTTTTGCATAATGGCATCCTCAGGGAAAAGGTGTCAGAAGATAATGAGAAGATTTGGCAGTTACAAACTGAGAGATATGCTGAGGATCACTAGGGAATTTAGTCTGCAGCATTGCCAAAGAGATAGTGTGATAAATGCTTCACTGGTAACTGTCTTCTATGAGTCAGTGGGGAATCAGACTTGTTTTTCTCACTTTCTCATTGGCAAAATGAAGTCCCCAGCCAGGACCTTAGATTCAAGGTAGGAGGGATGCTAGAACTATTGAGTTCCATAACCTTGGATACAGCCATCTTCCCAAAGGCAGGGAGGTCTCATTAAGCCTTTGTCTGTGGCACAAGTTAAGGAAGATAAACTATACACAGGACAGAGATGAGTATCTTGAGGGCTTGAGAGCCTTGGCCACCTGCAGCAGTGAGCTTATGCTGGGCATTTGAGAGTGTCTGTCACTTCTTGTACTGCACAGGTAGGGATGGGATTTAGCACTATGGATAGAGTGCTACACTTGTGTGTGTGTGTGTATGTATCAGGTGTCTAAGGCTCCCTATAGTCAGTGAAATCACTGGCACATCAGAAGTAATACTGCTCGCCCAGGTTTCAGTGCTGTTGCCCAGGCATAACGCCTTTAAGATGCT